CTACACTCTGACACGAAACTCTGCCTCATGCTCCATCCGATAAGGATCTGGGAGTAGTCATTCGCGCAGACTTGAGTTGCTCCACAAACTGTTCCAGGGTATCATCCATGGCGGTAAAACAGGTTGGACTGCTTAAACGTGTTTTTGGATCGTTTGAGCCGGTTTTGTTTCCACGTTTGTTAACCACATATATCCGTCCATACACCGAGTACTCAATTCAAGCCTGGAACCTATAGCTGCAGCGAGATCTGAAGGCACTCGAACATCCGCAGGGAATGGCTAACAAGATGGTCAAAGGTCTACATTCCAAGACCTATGACGAAAAACTACAGCTCTTGGGGCTATACTCGTCTCAATATCGTCATATCAGAGGCGATACGATCGTACTGTATTGAATTTTCCAACAGCCTAACCCTCCATATAGATCTCTTTTGGTTCTATCAATCAATGTTCCTCTCAGAGCGCGTCGACTGAAGTTGACACTCCAAAAAAGCCGTCTCGACTGCAGGCGCCATTCGTTTGCAGTCAGAGTGTGCAGCAAATGGAACTCTCTACCACCTCACGTGGTCTGTGCGCCAACATTAGTATCTTTCAAGCGTCAGCTTGATGATGCTCTGGCAAACATTATGTTTCAACACCCAGCTACATAATATATTCTCCTGTGCTCGTCAAAAACATTACTATTTTACTTACATGGACTAACTGTGATCTTGTGAATCATGTTCCGAACCAAAGTGTAAACACCCCATGGGGTTTGATAAGCGAAGTCTTTGTAAGTTTTTTCCCATAATAAAAATTTGAATTTGAATTTATTCAGTGAAGCACTACCCATCTGTTCAAGCTTGATTATCTAAGTAGTGGTGTTCCTATCCGCTACCAAAAATAGCGACAAAAGTGTACAGCTTCGCTGGTCAAAGATTTGAAGTAGCGTACTGTCTCCAGATCAGAATCTGTTTTTGTGTGGCTTCCCAGAAACTGAAACCCCTCTTTGCGAATGTTCTGTTTCGAACAATGTTCCATCCTCCCCATCGAGTTTGCTTGTTTGTACAGCACATCCAGTAAGGGGAAAAATATATGGTAAAATGCATTTAACTGCGGTCGTTTCGTGTGTTTCAGAAGTATATCGTTGCGTACAGGAAGCCCGGTGAGTTATAACACGTCATCAGAGTACTATCCCAGTGGTAGATTGTATCAACTAAATTTATAACTGGGAAGTCATCCGATTGTGGGGCAGAGTTTGTTCAATACGTGAGTAGATCACTTTCATACGGGGAAAAAGCTGTCGAGAGAACTGGAGAAACGTGGATACATTATAATCACCTCGCACGTGTGACAATACTCGGCAATTGTTTTCTCTCAACGAAAACACCGCTGAGCAAACGGAGAACGTAAACAAACATCACAGCCGTCGTTTCAATCAAGATGCGAACAAACAAAATGTGGTAATCGAAAATCGATTGCCGGAGAGAGAGAGAAACAATCCAAGTTGAAGAGTCAAGTAAACACTGCGAAACTTTTTCGACAACGCTTATATTTGGCAACTTTTGAAAAGCATAGACGAGGAGGACAACATGTCGACCGGGTGGTGAAACGCTAAAATTACAATGTCTGTAACATAAGCACATCATATTCCATCTACGATACCTACGGATTCCGATGGCTCCCCACATAACGTGAACACGTTTTGTCGCCGCTCAACACGCAGTGATTGTGCAAATTTTTGGTCTAGTTGAATTCAGAACCACATTAAAGGGTAGGGGAAATATCACGTAAACTCATGCGATCTTAAAAGAACGCAGATATATGCTACTTTCGCAATAAAATATTACAATATTCCACCTCATCTGATGGATAATTTTTTTAGGTTTAACTTGTTTTTTTACTGACATGAAATGAGTGGGAAAACATCAGCGCGAGCAAACTGTTTATGATCGCATGTGTGTTGCCAATGGGAAGAATGTAGTACAAAAACACTGGTGTTCAACCCGAGTCAACCACCACTACGAACATTGCAGTATAGTTCGATTTCGCAACTTGGTACTTGTGCTTTGTATTGTGTGATTGTCGGATAGCTAGTTTTTCGGTTGTGCTCGCTTATTGACCGGATTCCACTTCGTTGAGTACGGATCAAAAGCTGCAGATCGAAACATCAGTGCTTATTCGTCGTATCCGTGCGTGCACCGACTGATTGCAGTTAACCAGAAACGGAGGATAATTTCTACAACGACCTTTCTCCATTACTCCAACGTGTTCGCCCTTTGCACGTCGTAGTAATCACTGCTAATTTCTATGGTCAAGTTGGGTCCGTGGTCGAATTAGCCAACCGAACGGACAACGGAGATCTAATTGAACTCTGCGTGGACCACGGATTGTTTCTATCGAGCACTAACTTCTTCCATACAAAACGACACCACCTTATGGTGAGACTGCCCACGTCTTCACACTAATGAACCCGAATCAGCTGCATCGCCATCAGCTACCGCTGGGCAGGCTTTTTTGGAGACCACTTCTACTGGTCTTTTTTGGTTCCTATCCGCGGATGCGGACCGTGATTTATTTTGAGCTGACATCTCCTAGTAAACAGCCACAACAAAGCCACCGGCAAAGGATTCTCCCAATACAATGTAAGGAATAGTTGGGAATCGGCCTTCGAAGCGGAGCGCTTCTACCACCTCTCAATTCAAACACCAGCCAAAGGACAATCAACACTAGATTCAAGTCAGGGATGCTATCCAGATGTCGAAAAAAACAACAATGGATTCTGACACACGATTAAGACACGACAGAACTCCTCTCCATCGGTTGCTTGCTGGACGCTCACAGAGTCATTCTATAGATGTCTGAGGAATGACCGCAAGAAGTGGTGGGTAGCAAAATGTAGAGAGATGAAGAAAGCTGCAGCTATTAGTGATAGTTGCAATATTCTCGGTTTACATAGGAGTACAGGCTGAAGGAAAATAGGTGTGAATTAATTGAAGAATCCGACGGCACATTAATTCATGTTCAGGAATACCGTCTTCAACGATGAGCAAAATATTTTTTGAACTCTGTTCCCTAGAAGGATTTCCGCTCCACTGTTTGTTATATCAAACGAACATTCTGTAGAACATCCTCCATGTTAAATGTTAGCAAGACCTGGTTGCAGGCCCTCATACGACTC